TAAAAAAAGAAATGAGAGACTTCAGAATTTTTTGTACATTTTTGGCAGGTTTTAAATTTCTTCTACAGCAGGTGATTCTAACACAGGATGATGGGTATTTCATTCAACAGCTTTTACTTGGTGTTACTGTAGGTAGGCTCTGTCTTGGGCAATTGTGCTACTAAGTAAGAGAGATAAGACTCTTGCTCTCAATGAGCTTATATTACAGTGTGAGGTGGCTGAAATCACACTAGTTAGCTAGTAAACAAGAAAAGAGCAGATGGTAATAAACTTTATGAAAACAATATAGGAAGATGATGAGACAGAATTCTGGCAAGGGGCATGGTAGACGTCCCCTAGGGAGTGGATGATTGGAGGTGGTTGGAGATTAGAGGATCCAATGACAAAATGCACCTGCAGAGATCTGGAAGATAGTCATTACACGCAGGGAGAACACGCCCTAAGGTGGGATGGGGTGGTGAGTTGAAGAAGAAAATAAAGGATGGGATATAGTGCTCTATAGAGAAGAGAAGCTTGTGTGTGCCTGGGGGGATAAATAATGGGCTAGATTACACAGGGCTTAATTACACAGGGCTTGGTAGGTAATGATGTGGTGTTTGAGTTTTATTTTTTAAGTATATTGGAAATATCTCCTAGTTGACTTCACAAATTGGAGTGACATATGATATTTGTTTTTAGAAGGTCAGAATGCCTGCTGTATGAATGATGTTGTTGTAAAGACCCCAAAGTAAAAGCTGCGAGACCCACTAGGTATATTAGGTGATAATTGGTGGTCATGTGGCTTGAACCAGCAGAGAGAGTAGAAATGGAAAGAAAATCCAATTGAGGATATGTTTCAGAAGAGTTGGGAGGACTAGCTGAAAACCAGATGTATGAAAGGGGATGATTGAAAGAGAATAACAAAATATAGACTCTTTCAAATTTTTCTTTAGTCTTTCACTCATACAATAATGACTCTCAACCTCTAGTCTCTGCAGCAGTTTTATTACTTGTATTTGCAGAGCAAGTCACAATTCCATCATGATTGGAATATAAAATCAGAGAGTATAAAATATGAATGATGGCACAACATTTTCCTTTTGACCTGACAAATTCAAACTCATTATTTTAATCTCCTCTCTTAGTTTGTCTATGATGCATTGATTGACCTCGCTATCATGTAAGATTTTAAAAATATCTTTTTTCTACATTAATTCTGTACATTGCATACGATTCCATAGCAGCAATGGTTTTATATTTTTTATAAACAGACTAGACTGCACTCTCAGAAAGAGATTTTTAAAAATCTTTGTATCCTCTATTATATAGTATTTGAAGAATGAGTGATTGACACACACATGGAAAAGTATTTGGTGATTCTTCTTTGCCTAAACTATGGCAACTTGGCATTTTACCACTTTTTAAATACCTTGGTGATCACCTTAGCATTTTAAAAAGCAGCCTATTCCAATTTCAGATTGCTCTAATTACAGGAACTTCTTAGATTAATTAAAATCCTCTTTAAAATTTTTTTGCCTCTTAATCTTAGTTATATCTATTCATTAAATGAATAAAGATAACAAATTCAAAACTACTTTTTATCACTTTGTAGAAATAATTCAGTTATAAAAACTTTATATAGAATACTTTGCATTGGATAGAAAGTTAGACTGATACGAAAGCTATTAACTTCCAGAATCCAACATTATATTTATAGAACTCTGAACATTCAGTTTGCAAGATAGAGTATTACAAAGCATAATTGGAGTCCCAGAAGGAATAATTATTAACCTAGCATGACCTAGAAATGGAGTGAGGAAAAAAAATCACCGTCAGTCATTAATCTTCTCATTATATAGAAGTTATTTATCTTTAAATATCATGCATATATATGTTTATATACATATTCATACATATGTATTTTAAATTTATACTAGCTAATGGCATCTAAGCATTTCTCATCATAAATGAGTTCTGATTGAGAATTTTGCAGACGCACTACAGACATTTTCTTATCCAAAAAAACCCAAACACCTTATTTCTGTACATGCAGAAAGAACTGATAAGCAAAATAAGGCATGCCATAGGATGTTTAAAAAGAACATTTTGAGAATTAGATAGATTTGAGTTCAAAAGCAAGTTTCCACTAGCTTTTTGATCTTGAGAGATTATTACTATTCTCACTTGAGATCTCTGCTTCTTCATTTCCATAACATGGGGATAACTTTCCTTTCTCATGAGTTTATGATCAAGTTTAAATGAGAAAATGCACATAAATCTTGTGACACAGAGTCTTTCACTAGGTAAGCACTCAATAAATTATAATCACCTTATAAAATAGTAAATTATTAGTATTTTCAAATGATTAAAAATTCCAGACAAGTGTGTCAGGTTTTGCAGGTAGAATTTTTACATGGGATTGAAGCAATAAGAGTCAGAAAAGATAACAGGTGTTACACAATCTGAATGTTATGACTCTGTAAAACAAACATCTTTCACTGATAGTTGAAACCCTTGAATGTTAACCACTCTGCCTTGAAATTATTTGCGTGATCATTTATGAAATTTTTCTGAATTGATAAAATACTTCAAACAACAATTGCCTCATATGTAGACTGTGATGTAAAGCTTTCTTATTAGGTAGTTTGATTTATGTTTAATTATGTATTACTGATAATAATAAAAACAATTACTGACAGTTACATCAATCATTCCAAATCTGGCTCTGCACTAGAAACTTTACATAGAATTATTTTCTTTAATCTTTAAAACAACTGATCAAGGTAGATATTCTCTAACATCCACACTTAACAGGATTAGAAACAGAAGCTCAGTATGTGACATACTGTTTGACGCTCTTTATAAATATCAACGCAGCCTTCAAAATCGCCTTATAAGACAACTTCTATTATTATTACTATCCCCATTTTCCAGATTAGAAAATATTGAAGTTCAGAATCTTTATATATATTACCCAAAGTCATAAGACTAACCAGGGGTGGCACTGAGATTCCAACTAGGCAATGCCATCATCTCAAACACAAGACACTGTTTCTGAACAAAGGAAGAGTGAGACAGACTTTGTAGTCTATAGCCTTAGCTACTTGGCTACATTACCTCACTTTTATAATTTTCATTTTAAAGAGGGCAAACAGAAACTCAAAGGAGATGGATCATGTCAGGATCACACAGAAGGTCTACACTTTTAACTTCTAAGTTGTACTTCTTTCTCTTTTTAATAGTTAAAAGTTACATTTTCAAAAGGAAACTGCTAAATTTATATCTACTGGTTATTTTATTTCAAACAATAAAAAAACCAAAAAAAGCTTGTTGCTACTTTTAGAAAGAAGCCTGCTAAATTAGCAGATCTAGATTTATGGTTTCCTATGAAATTCACTTGTGATTTTTGAAATGATTGATGTTCTTACAGAATATATTTTGAATCCACAAGGATGCTGAGTAGGACATATTTAAACTTTCATGATTTTTTCTTGTATTTTTTTGAAATGTGGTTTATGACTTTGACATCTTAAATTCTGTTTTGTTAGATAGGGATTCTGAAGTCAGAAATAGGTTCACATTCCCATCTGATCCAAATACAAAGGCTTTAAATTAACTATTGCTACTGAAGAATAACAAGACTTAATTGAGGCTCCCCAAGAGCTTAAGTGTAATAGTATAATTTTGTTTTTCTGGATATGTAAACCCCAGAAAAAAAGCACTTAAATTAGGTTATTCATTTCGGAAATGAATCACTATAATTATTTGCTTTATTTAAAAAATACATTTAACAAATTTAATAAACTTTTAAATGATATCATCTTTATCCATTCTTAATTATAGCAAGTCTTGTTATATATTCATAAAATTTTCTGTTTTTAAACTATCAACCCTCCAGGAGGATGAACAAAGAAGACATTATTCTTCCCTAGTCAGTCTTTTTATTAGCCAGGCAGTGAATAAAACTAGGGACACAGCAGTGACTGATATATTTCTAACTGATTAAAATAAATCACAGAACAACAAGTAAAGTGTGCTGTCTTTATAAACAGTGCACTAGGATATATGTGTGGAAATATAGCATATACTGTATAGCTTAATATCTACGGAATAAAATATGAAGTAAAAACATAAAATGTGAAAACAAAGTAAAAACGTACAAATATACTAATTATATAAGTAATTATTTTTACCTAGAAGCTTATACCTAGAGGTGGGAAATTAATATAAAAGTTACACTGAGAAAGTAATGGCTTACAGATAGCATTTAAGAAATGTTTACAATATGCCAGGATATACAATAAGCCTGTTTCTTGTATGATCGCTGTTAAAATTCTCTATGAAGTAGACCGATTCTTATTTGACAGCTAAAGAAAATGAGACTAAGATGTGAAGTAATTTGGGCAAAAGTCATATAGCTAGTAAATGGCAGAGCTAGGGATTGAATCCACAGCAGTCTGGTTCCAGAACCTGTCTTGTTAACCATTATTGTACACTTTCTCCCAAGAGTGACAAATAGAATATCTATAAACTCTAAAGCAAAGTTATTTTAAGACTACTACTAGTAATTCTAGCGGTGGGGTAGTGGCAGTAATAGTAATAAATATGAGAAAAAATCATGGTATGGTTCCTTTTGATAACCAGTTGGTTAAATGTTAAAAGACCTCAATTTCAGAGGGAGAGACAGAATAAAACTAGTTCCATTGAATGCTTCTTCCAGGCTAAGATTCCATATTAAATTCTAGGCTTCTATCTTTAGCATGTCCCAAAAGGATTCTGTGGCTTGGCATGGTGACTCATGCCTGCAATCCTAGCACTTTGGGATGACACAGTGGGAGGATTGCTTGAGCCCAAGAGTTCAAGAACAGCCTGGGCAAACATAGTAAGACCCTGACTCTATAAAAATTTTAAAAGTAAAAAGAACTCTACAAAGCACCACGTCAGCAGCCTTCTTTATTATACTTAGAGTATATTGCCCCATAAATACGTTTACAACCGTGAATGAACAGAGGCCACCTTACCTGTAGATGAATGGTGCCACTGTGGCTGTATTCGGGTGGCTGTGCTGCTGCTGTTGAGGGAGTTGGACAGCACCATTTCCTGTGCTCTGCCCACTGCTGTGTGCTGATGGTGCAGTAGCAGAACCAGAGAGAGAAGCTTGGCCAGCTTCCCTTCCTTCTGGAGGAACTGGGTAGTTGGATGCGCTTGCTTTCTCATTGATGATGGGCTTAGGTAAGGACTGGGAAGGGCTTCCCTTGGTAGTCCTGAATTTCTCAGACTCTTTGCTGGCTGTGCTGCCAGGTGAAATGGTCTGCTTTGCTGTTGGCACTTTAGAGCCTGGTTTTGGAATTCCACTGGAAGATGGAATTAAACTCTCTTTCTTGGCTGCTGTCGTCTTGCTGCCCTTTGGGATCAAGCTTGCGATTTTGGAGGTCTTTTTTGGAGCCATCTCTGTCACCTGATCCTTCTCTTCCTTGACTGGTTTTTCAGTGCAAACTTTGTTTTTGTCCCTGTTCTTTTCCTCTTTATCCTTTGGCTGTAGCAAAGACTTTTTATTGCTGAGATTTTTGCTTCCAGCTTTTGGAGGGACCAATTTAGGTGAGACTTTGGGACTGCTATTTGTTGAGCCACCACTATTCAGACCACTGTTAAAACCTTCCATTTCACCAGATTCAGAAAAGGCATCATCATCCTTCCCACCATCACTGGGTCCTGAACTGGGAGACTGTGGGGTGCGTAAAGCTGTCCGGGCATTGACCAGCTTGAATTTCTCAAGCATGGACTTCTGTCCTGAGGGAGCAGTTTTGACCCCTTCTGAAACAGGTGGCTTCAGTCTGTCTGAAGATGGTGTGGGAGAGGTGGCTGGGCTCGACTGCTTCACGGTCAGCATGGTGGAGGTGGCACTGTGTTTGACATTCATGGACTTGCTGCGCCAGGGCTTGCTGGCATTCGGAGAAGGGATGGCAGAAGCAGGGGGCTGCCCAGCAGTGCTGAGAGGCTGCATGTTACCATTTACACCTGAAGACAGTTGCGGTCCTTTGGAGGAATCTGAACATTGTTAAGGAAAAAAAAAAAAAGATGATTAGTCTTCATTTTTGTCACACCACTGAGTACCTCCTAACTATTGATAGGTGGAAGCATCTCTCCTCTGAACTGAAAAGAGACCCGCTCTGTGGCACCAATCAATTCTGTGACGTGATTGATTTTTATCATTTATCAAAAATGTAGTGTTTGGGAGGCATTGGTTTTGGGAAAGATATATGTGTGTGTGTGTGTGTGTGTGTGTGTGTGTGTGTGTGTGTGTGTGTGTGTGTGTCCCCGCTGCCGAATGTATTCTTACTCAAATGAACTTGCTAGTCACAGATATCTCCAATCAGTCAATATACCTGTTGTTTTTTAGAACACCTTGGTGCTTGGGCATGAGCCTAATTAATTTCCATAAATATTACAAGTGTGGGAAGATTACAGAAGTTTAAATAAGTGATCAAAGAATTAGAAGACTTCAATTCAAATGTTAACATTCGTAAATTGTATAATTCTGATCATATTATTTAATTTAAGTTTTATCAACCATGAATGCCTTCCTCTTTCATCCTTTTATTGGGAGAGTTAGAAGATGATTAAATTAGATATTTAATTTGGTACTGTTAATATATAGATATTGAAAAGTAAAGGCAAACTGTTTTTGATGAAATGCTCAACAGAAATATTGTATAAAGAGTATCTTTTTCTCATAATATTCAGGAATTGAACCTCAATGAATTTTATTAAGTATTTATAAATGTAAAACTAGAGTGCTTTTATTTTAAAATGTCTTCTTTACAAAAATCAAAACACATGATACTGTATGGAATCAAGCCAACTGGTACAGAATACAAGTCTTAACTCATTTTTCAGAAGAAGAAATTAACATACAACAAAAGGAAATAACAATAAGTTAAAGGTAAAAAAAAAAAAGAGGTCAAATTGTTAGTGGAATTTTTGTATGAACCAGGCAGGTTAAAAAAAAAGTGTACCTAAAAGAACATAGTTAGCATTTTAAATGTATGCTAAATTTATGTTTTCTTAAGTAAATTGCTATACCAATGCTGATTTCTAATTCTTACTACCTCTCTAAAATGTCTCATCTCTACCGGCAAAAACTAATAGTAATAGTATAAGTCTGTACTATATAGTCGAAATTTAAATGTAGTAGTTCACTGAAAAGTCGAAGTATTTATGTGGCATATTTAAATTCTAAAGTATCTAATAATAAGTTAACTTTTTTTTAGAATTCATACAGGCCGGGCTCAGTGGCTCAGCCTGTAATCCCAGCACTTTGGGAGGCAGTGTTGAGCGGATTGCCTGAGCCCACGGGTTTGAGACTAGTCCAGGCAACTTGGCAAGAACTACTCTCTAAAATAAATAAAAATTTAGCCAAGCATGGTGGCACTAGCCTGTAGTCCTAGTTACTTGGAAGGCTGAGGCAGAGGATCACCTGAGCCCGGCAGATCGACGCTGGGGTGGCCGTGAGAGTGCCACTGCACTCCAGCCTGGGCAATGGAGTGAGACTCCAACTCA